AGCAAACCACACAAAAAATATAGAGAAAATATTATGCATATATTAAATTATATATAGTATGCATTACACGAGATTCTTTCTTAATTTCTTCAATTAAGCCCACTACATCGGCACAGTAACACGGTTACTTATACTATTTTATTCTACGGACTATCACGCATCAAAACAATATTCGTTTCGGTGAAAATACGTTAAAACGTCGTTAGTTTTACACACTCCATGCCTGCTATCATACATATATATAGACATGCGATGTACAGTACACTAGACACTTGCGTGAGGTTAGCCTATAATTTGGGAATGACAAATACCGCACAACAGAAAACAAGAGAAGGGTCAACAGTGGGCAGCATCTTGTGAAACAGGTTCAGGGAAAATAAAGGAGTTCATGGGTCACTATTGTTTCGGACATGTCGGGAGGGCACCTGGCTCTACTTACTAACCTTGCCCGTCAACTCGCACGGGGGATCTGGCCTCCTCTGCTCCGTAGGCACGTTGTTGATCGTACTCCAGAACGATTGCAACATAAAAATGTATAGCAATGACTGGTGCATATTTGTACCCATCCATTTAGGAGAAACTACGTGTTCTCGATGTAGTAGGTCTGCCGCAGTACTGCGACAGGACAGCAGGAATCGCAAATCCCGCCACTCGGCGTCGGCATAGCGCGTTGTATGTGCTCGATGGAGGCGCCAAACTGCGAAAGTTTCGCGTGACTTTGACAGCTCAAAACTCTATCAATCTAGCCGCGCCGAGCCATATAACACTCCTGTGTTCTCACATCACACTTGAGAGATCGACCAATCGTCACAGTCTTCACGGTAAAGCTCATATATAGTAATGACGAGTGCATTTCATCGGGAACTCTCACTTCGAACGCTAACTTCACCCATCTATGCTTCACCCCATGACCGCTGCCTCATGACTGCGCGTGCGATACAGGGCGCCTATTGGTCCGAACTTTGCGAGCACAACCTACTCTGCTACGTGCAGGGGTGGCCAAGCGAGTAAACGAACCGTGCCGCGTGAAGTGGATACGCTTGCTACAAATGTCGCCACGCGTGGTACCGGATAAAAAATTGCAGTGACACGGTTAAAGTATGGGCCGAAACGAGAGATTAGAGAAAATGGGCTGATTTCATATTGTATTGTGACGCGCAAATGCATAATCAAACAAGTACTAGGGTACCGTATATCTTACAAATTCAAAAGAGATATCGGCGAAGGTGGGTTTATTTTACAATGTTGTAACGCGAACAACACAAAACCAAACAAGTACTATATCTAAAAATCCTTATAGTCGTATTATTTTCAAATTATATTGCATGTAATTTTAAAGGAAAACATTATATCACAATGAAACTAAAGCAGTATGACAAAGGAAAAAATCGCCTAAGAAATTAATTTGTTTGCTATTATCATTTACTATTACACATATTTGCATGAAGAATTACCGACTATACAAAAGCTATCGCAAACAAAAATGTACCCAAAACGAAAAAACGGTGTCAAATATTACGAGAGCTAGCAGGATATACACATCACTCTATTTAACCTGAGACTGTTTCACATACCATGTGTGAATTAATTCCCATCAAGTATTTCTGTTTTTCCTACTTCATGCCAAGTGCAAAAATTTGGCCCACCACTAGAGAAGGAACTGGCAAAAATAATCTTCAGGAAATACGTTTGTGCCATGCACAAAAACTTCTTGTGGTGGAGCACCAAAAATATTGTCTTTCAAAACATCGGCCGAACATAGGATCGCGTTTCCGCCTGGTGGAATCTATCCTAATACACAGCCGATGAGGAGGTGTCAAAGCAAACAGCTTTTAGCTGAACCGTTATTTATCAGCGTAAAAACCACGTTATTTGCTTTCAAAATTTAAATATATCAAACAAACAATCTTTAATTTTCTTGTTTGACGCACGTTTGTTTGTTTGGCTTTTGGGTAATATCCTAATAGGAGTTCTAATTAAGTGACCATGCACTTAGTAGTTGCATCAGTTCACAAACTAGAGAAATTACAAAGGAAATAATTGTGAGAATATTATGAGAGAATTATATAACGAATATTTAAATACTTTTGGTTCAACCAGCTTTGGAAGACTCCCATTAAAAAAATAATTTAAGATGACATCTTAGCGTGAAGATGAACAGTGCATGTAGATAGAGATAAGGGAAATGACAGCATTAAACAAACATGACAACATGATAGTTGATAACTATTACCATGAACATATCAGGAAAGAATAATAATAGATATTATTATTATATTATAATATAGTAATATATATATATATAATATAGATATTATTATTCACTCCTGAACATATGTATTCATACATATATGCTTATTGTATTAGGGATGTGCGCCTAGAAATCTAGTTTATAGGCACCAAAGGTCGCTTATATTATCAGTAGTGTATAATATAGATCTATATTATACACTCCTGATATTAGAGTCCGACCTCCTTTATCCGGCCATCCGTTATCCGGAAATCTCTATTAACCGGCCGCGATCTCGCAGTGTTATGTTTCTGTTTTTCATTCATTTCCACCTAAAAATTCTGGCTCAAAACTCGCGCGATGTACCAACCCTACGTTGTTTGCGTGTGTCGCACGCGCGGGCCGTGCGCCGCGTGTGTGTGTGTGTGTGTGTGTGTGTGTGTGTGTTGTCCGCTCGTGTCCGCTATGACTCCGATAAAATTTCTGTTTTATTTCATTTTATTTCCATTTCATATAAACCATAAAACAGGACAGTTTGTTACAAATAATCATAGCAGCGAGTAAATACATTATCAAATGCATAAACCCTACTGAACTGCATAGAAATGCTGTGTATGAGCATAACTCTCATATCCGGATGGGTGCCGGTCCCGACGTGGCCGGATAAAGGACGTCAGACTGTATAATACCAAGAGCTAATAATACCTATTATTAAAAAAAAGTATTATTAGCTCTTGATAATATAAATATATAGCATTACAACTATATGAGCAAGTTTAGTGTATCGGACATATATGGACAAAGAAACCCAGCCCAACACAACTTCCAACAGTTATCTCTTCTACCAATTCAGCCAAATGCAAGACTTACTATTTGATAAAATTATGATGACTTATCTAAAAGTGCTAAATGATTGTAATTAATAAGATGTATATTTCCTGTGTTTTTTTTAATACAAAACTGCATGTTTATTTTACAAAATGCATATATACAGCTAAAGTTGTTCTCATATTTTCAAAGCACAGCTTATATATAAATGACATTAAAGGAATACGTTTGAATTCTAAATTGGTGAAATATGGCATTTGATCAACAAGATCACATCTTGAATGGAAAAGATATTAGTCACTATTTATAAAGGGCCTAATGATAATAAATTTAAGCAATTTATACTGTGAGGGTTTGTCCCCTTTTTTCACTTTCTCGAACAGAATAAAAAACACCAATTATGATATTATCACCAATCACATGATACAAAGGTATGCAATTAAGATCAATACATGAATGGGGTTTAAAAAGATGAATCACGACCATACACATATTAGAAAAATTTCACGCATTTTTTTGACATTCATACGTTAGTTGTCAAACAAACTTAATCATTCACAACAAAGTACAATGCTAGTCAGACTTTATTTTTCTCAGTCATTAATTTAGTGCTTTGTAGGAACATACTTGCTAACATACATACAAACATACGTGTACCTACTATTTTAGGGGGAGGGAGTTTCAAACTGTACAGGTCATTTCGAATTTCCTCGTCTGGGACCACCCATTCCACCTCTTCCTTGCTGTGGCCCTCCTCGTCCTGGGCCTCCTCCTCTTCCTCCCCCGCGGCCTCCAAACGCACCTTAACAATAAATCGGTCAAGATCAAGTATACACAAAATCGATATAAAATTTTCGACATGCAAATTGCTGACGGTTCAGCAAAGTGTTCGTCCGTATTTTACAGAACATCACGGAAATAAAATAGGTCCATTGCGATAATCAGTTACTATATAGTGGCGCCACCTGTTGGTTGAAAACACCATAATTTGCCATTTCCAACCAAACTTTTACATAGTCAGTTATTACAAATTGTAAACGTTTGCTGTTACATATGACCAATTGAATCTGCATAAAATGTAGCAAATCTACTTTCTCAAACGTAAATTACACTAGCCAGCACAAAGTGAGCAGTACTACCATTGTATAAGACACACACAAATTGCATCAGGCAACATCACATTGAGAGGTTATCTGCATGCCAGATGAATTTATTGGTAAATAATAAGCAAACCAACAACAACTAATAAACAAAGTGGTTTTTATTGCAAGTTTTTTTTGCAATTGAAATTCATGTCTAGGTAGTGTGCTGTGCAATCAAGTTTTTTATTTTGTGCACCTCAGTTGCAATCAAGCAGCACAGTTATATCAAGAGCTCATAATATCAGACCTATTATTATGAACTCCTGGTTCTATAATGAACATACCTATAGCAGATGCGATATAATATATTACGTAGATATATAATATATATATATATATATTTGTAGTTATAGAAATACCTCTGCCACCGGGGCCTCCTCTGCCACCACCACGGCCACCACCACGTCCTTTAGCATCACCACGGCCCCTTCCTTTAGACAACACCTCTTCTTTCACCATGTCTATGACCTCATCGGGAATTCGCAAATACTTGATGGTCGTGCCACGGATGTAACATTCCGGCATTTTCCAAAATCTGTCGCCATCCTATACAATTTGAAAGTGTAATGATAATACTAGTCACTTGAACTCAATTTAGTGCTTCAGATGTGAATACAATCGAAGCTGTTTTAGTAATGTTTTTTTCTACGTTAGCACTAAAGTATGGTCAGAAAGAGCATGTCACATCCATAGAGGATTAGCGTCATTAGATTACAAGCAATCTACAATAAAGATGTGAAGCATACAACCATATTAAGTACCTTCAGTAAATGTATTTATATTTTAATTACATGCAAAAAATATTTAATAATAATAATATGAATACAAATGTAACACTGATACACTAATCCACCCATGAGGACAAAACATTACAAATACATACACAGAATATATTACAATAAGGTATAAATTTTAATTACTACTAAACTCAGATCAGTATTCTATGCACGCTAGCATATAGTACCATAGTTATCATAATTCATTCATTTAGTATATATAGGTACACATACTCGTGAAGTGCAGATAACTTCTCTTAGATTAATGTTCATCCAATTGTCGCAACTGACAAGATGTCCATTGTATGTCTCTCCATTCTTCAACTCCACTAGCTATAAAATTAGAAAAACAAGCTTATATAATACATATACATATATATATCTATCATATACATATACATTATATATATTAGGGCTGTCATTGGTATCAAATTATTTCGATTCGATTATTGATATTTTTTTTTTCGATATTTCGATCCGATTCGATCCGATTCGATTTAATAATTGTAATAAAACATGAGCCGTGAAAGTACAGTAAACTCATGTATTGTGTTCTACTATGATAACTATGCATTTTATACATCGCTGTGCTTAAATACAACATGGGCGAAGTATATATTTATCTGAATTCAACCAGATTGACCTGGCGCGGCGATGGCGAAGCAGCAGACATGCTTTT